GTTTAGGTAGCAAAATGCGGGCTGCTTTGAATTTATCGCTCATTTGTTGTACATTTGTCCGTACGCATTTAATTAGCCCACAGCGCCGATCGACGAGCTTTCCCCGCGAAACGAGTTTAGTCCATCGGGATATTAAATTTCTATTATTGCCAACGAATATTATGACTTCGATAAATTACTGTACCGTGTTAAATATTACTGAATTTTCAATTGAATTATAATATCGAATGACGCGGCAACGGAAGCAAATTCGTGCAGCATTGTTTTTTATGAATTGAAAACAGAGCGAGAGGCGGTAAAAGTTGCAGGTAATATCGATTTTTGAATATGCGAAGACTATGTACATGCATGTTGCGGTATCGAGGAAGAAACGATGCTCTGTTTTATTCAATGATCGCCGCGTGAACATAAGTGCATACAATTACAAATCTGAACAATCCGGTTGAAGGCACTCGTGCACGTCGAGAGTGATCGACGGGGCGCGAGTGGAAAGTTCAGCGTGGATCACGAGTGATTGACATATTAACAGTTCCACAGTGTTTCTTTCTATCGGCATTCCAATGTGTTTTCACGTCTGAATAAACTCTAAGAAAATTGATAGTGAAACGATGATGAAAATTGCTATTATCATTTCGAATGGTACTGCTTATAATAATTATATAATGATAATTATTATTATTCGGACTTTGACTCGTGATAATTATTATTCAGACTTTGCTTTGATTGTGAAAGAGATATGATAGCATACAATAATTACTTTTAAATCAATTTCATAGTGATATACAATAATTGTTTTTAAATTAATTTTATAGTGATATACAATAATTATCAATGACAAGAATTGCATAATTATACAAACAGTATGAATTGAATGATTGTACAGACAGTATAAATTGAATAATTATACAGAAAATATGAATTGAATGATTATACAGAAAATATGAATTGAATAACTATAGAAACAGTATGAATTGAATAATATTATACAACATAATGGTAATAAGATTCGTTTGAATAACAATAAATGAGAATTTCCACTTTTCTAAAGTAAATACCAATTAACTTTTCCTCGCGAAGATCGTATCCGCTTAAAAATTCGTTAAGAATTCGTATTAAATTCTTGATCATTTCGCATCAGGATATTTCATACTCGAATAGACTCACAAATATCCAAGGATTTGTTCTCTTTTTAGATTATTCGTCCTCCGTGTCACCGTGCACAACAGTAAAAGAGAACGATAATGAAACGAATGAAAATTCAGTGAATAAAACAATTCTAAATTACACGTTAATTGAGGATCAGATCGTTACGCCTGTCACGCTCGCGAGAGTAATCACGAGCCATGAAATGTCCCCTAATCGAGCCAGCACCCATAGGACACGTCCGTTGGTTATGCTAAATCATAATTGAAGGTCCAGATGGCAAGATCAAAGGATCGAGAGCGATGCTTTGATGAAGGATCGCGTATCGACGCACTCGAACCGATTAGCATCCGAACGTTCTAACGTCGGCCCACTTAACGTAATTGCTAATCCTCCGGGAACATAGATCTCCGCGTGCCAACCTAATCCGTTGCCCAATCCTCGAAGGCAGAGAGACTTTCGCCCAGCCACCACTAAGAAGATTTGACGAATATTCGCGTAACTCCGATTCGGTAAAACCCGTCTTATCGGAGCTCCAATTATTAGTCACAAGTACGGTCTGCCATTACCGCGGTTCTTCTTCAGGATATTCAGATTTTTAGCGAAATTATCATCCGGTGATCAATTCGGGCTCTCGATTCGAGCTCTCAATGCGTGCGGAAACCGATGCCCGAAACTTTTAAATCGCTGTTTTTCTAAATCAATGCAATTGCTTGCAGTCGAGCTCGTTAATGTCAAAACAGATTTCTGTTTGCGGAAATTTAAAGAGCAGTTCGAAAGAGCACTCTCGGCTGAAACGTTACCTGCGATATCTTATGCTCTGCGTTCATGAGAGTTTTACTGGTACTAACACACTGCCTGGTAAAATTCTCCCGTGATAAATGTTCCTTGAAGTTTACACTTCTGTGAATGCAACTTCACGTTCATCTACGCGGAGATATTATTTTTTATGCACGCGTTATTGTCATTATTTTTTGTTATTTTTATCATTATTTTATTAGCATTATTTTATTATTATCACTATTATTTTCGCATACGTCTTATTACCATTACGTACGTATTATCACACCAATCCCAGCGTATCGCTATTACATAATATACTATAATATAAAGATAATAATATAATATAATAATAATAATATAATATATATAATATAATAATATAATATAATATACTATAATATAAAGAATATCCTAAAATATGCTGAATATGCGGAACGAAGTCCTCGTTCCTCGTTCGTCGGAAAATTATGCGTCGTTAAGATACTTGCACGCAATACACCAGGAATATTTATGCACGTCGTAATGCAGGATGTCTCTGTAAAGAAAATAATTGGTGTGCCCTCTCGAAAATTTTCAACAACGAATATTATATTTTAGCGAACGTTGTCCTCTCCGCGATTACACGGTCCAGCAAAATGCAAATGATGCAACAAGTTACGAGGTGCTCCAGTTCCCCCTTATCTTTGCACCTATTTCCCCCTTGTTTTCCCAAGTATCTTTTTCCATTCTTTTTGAAGCAAACAGCCCTTGTATGTACAGTATATGTATAGTTCTCCTGAGCTCGAAGGGAAACTTCCATTCACTTGACTTTTTAGTGGACCTTCCGCGCATCGTGCACCGTCACTTTTTACATTACCTTTTACGAAAGAAAAGCCCCGTTTTCGTCGAACGACGTTGCAGAACTTCCCGGCAGCTTACAGTATCAATTTCATCGAAACTCAATCGCGTGGTCGATTTTTTATCGCACGCAATACCGTCTTGAATAATTTATATTCGCGTCGTCGTGTTTCACGTCATTCTTTACATTCCTTTTTCTTTTTCTATCGGTACGTCTCTTTATTTCCGAATTTCATGAAATTTACACGCTATTAATTTAAAATCAAATCGTCGAATAAATTACGAACACCGCGCAGACATCGATGCGAAGAAAACGAGAAGCACGCGGCGCGGTTAAATTCGCGCGAATGTTCCACGTTCGCGAGCGTAAAATATTTTGAAATCGAACTGAAACGCACGCAAATAAATTCCAATAACATAAAAGCCGGACCACTGTTTTTCGTATTTTAATTATTCGATATCACTGTTTTCGGTACGCGTACTTCCAAAATATTACATTCGATCTGTTTTATTTTCATCGGCGCGCTGCGCTCGCATCGTCTAGCGTTCGAAATCTGAAAAGCATGTTCCCCTTGTCATTTACGCGCGACCTGCGACGGCAGCTCGCGTTATCGCCGGAACTTCGATCGTCTAGGTTCCATGGGCCGCGAGGATATCAGAAGGAGGCGCGATAACCGACGAACCTTTAACACGGCAAGGCGCCAAGAATCCTAAACACTCGAATTCCCGCTCGGAACTTCGCTGAATGTCGACGTTTTGAGAAATACTGCTTCGTCTAGCGGGAGGCTTGAAAATATTTAGGGGACGATGACTGCTTAGAACAGCGGCAAATTGGCACCGGCGGTGCCAGGTTGCCAGATCGCCGGCTAAACCGCGATGTAACCGACGCCGGATCACGTGGCGAGGTAAGGAGCGGTAAGTGGGGGAAGGCCGACTGCTAGCGTCGACCAATGACAGCCTCGCGGCAACGTGTTTCGTTCGGCAAAAGCGGACGCGACTCGTAAGTGAAGCCTCTGCCGCCAGAGGCGCGAGAATAGACCCGAGAAGTCGGACTAGCCCGAGGTAACCCGAACGTCGCTGACGTCACAGTTCAGCCGGCAGCCTGGCAACACCGACAGGGAGTCTATTTGACGTCGAGTCACCGCTATTAATAGGAAATCTATTCGATATCAAGTCACCGTCATTGGTACGACGACGATATGACGTCGCGTTACCTCCTTGACGTGTCATTTTCTTCACAGTTATTGCAAAATTGTTCGATTGCAACGATTTTTTAGAAGGGAAAGAAAATTGATGTTAAGTGTTGATTAATTTTACTTGAATGCTTAAATATTGATGTCGAGGATTTTATTCTAATTTTAGAGGATAGGATAATATCCATACTTAACCAGTTAGCGAAAATATTGGATCAAAAAGACGGTCTTATTTGATAAAATTAACGATTTTATTACTGACATTTACTTGTTCGCAAAACATGATTCATGACACGAAATACTGCCTCTTCTCCGTGACGAGTATACTCGTCGAACACAGCTAAATGGTTAATAAATTAATACTAGAAATTTTCGTCACGTGTCGGACTAGCCAAAGTACGACAAGGCATTAAAACAATTAACTATTAAAACAATGGTGACTATTTAAAGTAAATAACAGTTTAATGACCGCTCACACAACATGTGTGTGATGCTGTAATAATTACGTAGGCGATTGCATTAATAATTACCACACGAAGGAAAAATATTAAATTTATTCTATTAAATACATTGTTAATATTGTCGTTGCTTTTTTGATTTAACGTGTCTTGTCATTGATAATTATTGTATATCACTATAAAATTGATTTAAAAATAATTATTGTATGCTATCGTATCTCTTTCACGATCAAAACAAAGTCCAAATAATTATGAATAGTACCATTTGAAATGATAATAGCAATTTTCATCATCATTTCACTATCAATTTTCTTAGAGCACACGTTGAATTATATCATGAATTTACATAAATATTGCCGGCCCCTGGCGTCGTTCGACTGCGCAGACGTGCAGTCATTAAACTGTTAACAAATTTTCTCGATCCTCGAACGCGGAACAGAGAGTTTTCCATCAGACGGCAGAGGTGGCAAGCGTTCTGCAAGATCGAGTCCCGCCGAGTGATTTGCAAAACAGACGCGGCTAAAATGATCGTTGCCGGATAAATTTGTCGTGGCGTCGATAAACCGAGTTTTGTCACTGTTCGCAGGTAAATCGACGGGCCTGGTCACGACCACGAGAGTGACACACGCGACACCGGCGGCCCTTTACGCGCATTCGGCAAGCCGTTACTGGGAGGACGACGGCAAGGTGCCACCTGCTGCACGGACCTCCTGCAAGGACATCGCACGTCAGCTGCTCGAGGACGAACCCGGCCGCAACATAAACGTACGAGATTATATTTTAGCTTAACCGGCTTTGTCCCAGGAGTCGTAGATTCTCCGCAGTCTTTATATCTGCCCTTTTGTGGTCCTCGCGGCCCGCTACGTGCGCGGACTTCCGAAAGGGGGTCCACGGAACCCGGAGGACCACGCGTGTCAAATATTTTACGCTAATCTAAGACGGGAATCAAGAGCGATGATACTGCGGCGTCGGATTCGCTATCGAGTTATTAACCGACGACCGCGCCACGATTTTCCAGCTTGATTTGCGCCGGCTGTTGAATACGGTCGCCGACAAATATGTGCGAGCACCCTTTGAAACGGTCCAACCTTTTTAAAACTTTGGTATAACTTTGTCGAAACTCGCGGAACGGTGTAACTTTTTTTACATCTGAAAAAGAACGATATAACTTTTTTTTAGAAACTCGTAGGACGGTGTGTAACTTTTTTGAAAATTTGAGAGAAACTGGATAAACTTTTTTTCGAAGCTGGATGAAATGTTCTTCGTCGCGAGATAATAATAGAAAATTTGAAAGGTTTCGGAACGGAGATCGGTGCGTAATTGTACGATTATTTAATTGCATTGTTGCGTATACGTTATAATATTGATCAGATGCGCGAAATTCGAGATACTATGTTTGGCCACTTCGAACAATAATAGTGCACATAATTAGATGAATGCTACTGGACGTTGAATTCAGTTCATCAAGTATTCAGTGTATACATACACGCTAATAGATGTTTCTAAATAGTATGTGACGTTACTGTGCAATTTAATCGAAGCTGCTAGAGAATATTCAGTTGGTATGTGTCCTCATAATTTGGCGGTGTCCGCTACAGTTTTAAACATTCCAAATACAATATTTAGGATTAATACGGTCGGTTGTTAAAATCGCATATATATGTATGTATGTATGTATGTGTAAATATTTAATTCAATTTCGTGGTCAATATATATAAAAAAATATATATACACATTATTAAATATGATAAAATATAATATAATATAAAACATAATAAAACATAATATAATATGAAATATAATAATATATATTTTATATATAATATAAAATATAATAAAACATAATATAATATGAAATATAAAATATAATAAAGTATGATATAATATAAAATATAATAAAGTATGATATAATATAAAATATAATAAAATATAATATAAGATAAAATATAATAACTTTACCATCAATGTTACAAACTAATTCATACTCGATCCGTCATCATTATTTCTGTTCACCGTCAAATACGGTATCGGAAGCGAGGAACGGAAAAATTCGTAACGCGGCGCATTATTGATTTAAAAATTTTTTTGTTGAAATGCATCGGCAAACAATACCGCGTATCCATTTTCCGCCGCGTAGATTCTATTGGTTGTCGTATCGAATGTATTCGACGCCGGTGAAACGTTAAAAAATTCCAAAGTGGAACGTGTCGTTTGCATCGTAGACGAAACACCGGAGCCAATTGGAAATTGACCGTGGCCGTTCGACTGTGCGATTTATCGTCGACAAATTTCGGGACACGCATAATCTGATATAACAAAGCAGCCAAAAAAAAATCAAGAAAGCTTGTCGCATTGAGTGGTGGTGCTGTTGGATGCGTTGGGAAATTGATTTCTGCCGGACAAAGGACACCGATGGGGATGAAATACACGCAAGCGGTTGCATCCGTAATGCACAAATCGCGGCATTCAGTCGCGAAAATGTCGTCTCTGCTGTTCGCATGTCTGATCTATGCAAGTGATTTCCCCCCGAATGCCGGTTTCCAAGAAACGCCACCGTGATAAACTCGAGATTTTTGTCCGTGCACTCTCCGTAACGATGCGCAATTCTGCCGCATCTGTACCGAAACTGTCGTGCAATATTTTTAACAATGTTAGGTGTAACAAAGCGCGGTGCAACTGTCGATCCGTTGCTATGGATAACGTGGAACGGTTTTTGTTAACGGTTTTTGTCTCAAATTCTGCTTACGTGAGTTGCATTTAGATTCTGGTGCATCGATTCACAAAACAATCACTGTGATACGTATCCTATAAAACACTAAAATCGCAGATTTTCTTATCGCAATTTACATCTTCTCGATGTTCACCGTAAAGCAGAGATAAACAACATTTTATTCGGACAACGGATAAGAGATATGATATTCAATATAATATTCAATTAATATTATAATATTATAATATTATTATATTCAATTATATTATAAAATTATAATAATCAATTAATATTCAATTAATATAAATATAATATAATATTCAATATAATATTATTTAATTATAATATTCTATTATTATATTCTATTAACGAATAGAATTTTATTCGACAGTATCGGATAAATATTCTACAAAAATTGGTTCTCTAAGCACTCTTTACTATCAATTGGTTCTTCAGACTAAGCGGATGATAGCCCGTTTCTTCTCTCGTACTCCCTATAATCGAGGTCGAAGTTTTTCCGACCTTCTCAGCTCAACCATAGCTCCCCCATTAAAACGAAACCAGTGTCAAAACGAGATATTCCCGTTCTCCCCGTTATTCTACTTTCAATTGTATTCGGACAAGCTTACGGGTTCGAGCGATTCAACAATGAACGACGAGACTCCGGAAAGTTCCGATCCTATTTACGAATTAGTTCTCATTTCGAACGGGTTAATTTGCCCAGAAAGATTACGGTTGACACGAGAATTGAGTCAGTTCGGCTGGAAAAAAAAAGATCCGACCCGCTGGAGGGGCCCGCGTTTTTACAGAGAAGTTCTACGCGAAACTTCCTGCTCATTAAAGTCCGGCAGGTCGCAGTTCTCGAGAGAGTTTTCCCGCAGATAGAAGGAATTAAAGGTGCAGGGGGGACGACTGTCGGCGAATCGGAGCTTTCCGATTCAGTGGCCGTAACGCGGCAACGGGGCGAAATCCATTTTGCAGGAATTGATTATGCAGAGTTTGCCAACACGTTCGTTAAAGGTAATCGAAAATGTCATACACCGGAATGTCGCGACACCTGGGCTATATTTCTTCCGAAAGCGGGATAAAATATCCGTCGGAACGGTTTCCTCGCGCCTTTTCGGTTTTCAATGGGTTCGATGGCTTTGCGGGAACTATACGCGTCCGATCGACGTTCCATCAACCTGTCTGCTTTCACAAGCAAAGCCTCGCAATAGAAAAATGTACTTTCTTCTGCTTGTTTTTCGTCGGACGACTCCTACGGGCGATTAATATGTAACATTCCAGCGGGGAAAAAGGGCGAATTTTATTTTCGAACTGTTGACTCGGTGGAAAAACGATCGACCAGACCGCCGCAAACCGATCAAAGCCGATCCTTCGGCGTTCATTTTACATAATGTTCGCGAAGATTTTTGGCGACTGCAAGATTAAGGCTGAACATTTTGCAAGAAGCGTTATGTCGAGGTTTTCCAAATTTTCATTCTTCGATTCGACTCTTTCTCTTTCTTTCGACTTTTCTAATATCTTTACAATTTGTTACAGTTTATTATTACAGTTTATTGAAGTTATTTTAAACGCATGAATGCATAAAAATCTCTCTAGCATACATTGTTCTTCGTGCCGGATGAATCAATTCGCGAAAATCGAGCGCAATCGAATTCTACTTGTCTCGAACATCGTCGAGCTTCCTTCTGTGGATTCAGTTTCATCAAATAACGTAACAAATTTTCAACGCACAAATTCAATGCACGCATGAAAGTCGTGTAACTTCTTGTCTCTGTTTTGTTCTTTTTCTTTTTCCCTCCCATTGATATTCACGTACGCGAGCTCGGCGAACGGAGCATATAATTTTTCGCTCCGGCGATTGTACGTTTTCGTCTAATTAACAGCCATGTAAAATGTGAATTAATATGAAATCCGTGGGTGGCCGAGGAACACGCTAAATGAAATCCGGCGTGGCCACCGTTTTTATTACGCGTGCACACTGTTCGCCGTCGCGTTGACAATTGACACGATTATTTGGATTTATTTGACGCGACCGTTCCGCGAAATATTGCAAGAACGACGCGCAGGTTTCTGCCTGATGACGTTAAAATATAAAAGCGTACGATATGTAGGTCGCGTGTTCAGAGTCTTCCTTACACACGGTTTCTATTTATAGTGCCTTAAAGCAAAAAAAAGGGAAAAGAAAAAGAAAAATGTGAAAAAGAGAAACGAAAGAAACAAATCCTACAATCACTGAAATGGAAAATCTCGGCGGCAACGAAAAGAACGTTTCCCTTCGGTTGACTTTGAAATTCTACGAAATTGCTTCTGGGATCACGATGGCTGACGGAACGCGAGCACGTATATATATATATATATATATGAGAAGAACTCTCGAAAACAGTCGCACAGAAAATGAAAAGTGTGAAACTAGAGCGAACTGTGATCTGGATAAATATGAATTTTAGATGCGCGGCCCGTCGGCCAGTAATTAATGTCGATCGGTTGATAACGAAAATAATGGGAAATTAAATATCGCCGTGACCCAGATAATCGCAAACTGAAAATTCGAATTAAATATTCATTGGGTGATCTTCGAATTAACATACCCGTGGACAGGTAATTTCACATAGTATCGCCGTGTGCGATCTACATACGTGCTCGATATAGCTTATAACGCTGCGCTATCATTGATCGGGGACATGACAGAAATAATTTATCAATTCGTAGACACATCTGAAGTTTCACAAAAGTATCCGTCAATTTTTGTAGTTGCCTGCAAATATTATTTCCCAGTGAAATGAATTAAACGAATGAAATTTATGAAATGAATAGAATGAATAAAATAAATGAAAAATTAATTAAATAAAATTAATGAAACAAATGGAATGAATGGAATGAATGGAATAAATGAAATGAATGGAATGAATGGAATGAATGGAATGAATGGAATGAATGGAATGAATGGAATGAATGGAATGAATGAATGAAATAAATAAAACAAATGAAATTAATGTAATAAATGAGAAAGAAATAATTAAATAAATGAAACGAATTAAATGAATAAAATTAATAAAATTAATGGAACGAACGAAACAAATGTAACGAATGAAATAAATGAAACGAATGAAATAATTGGATGAGCGAAATAAATGAAATGAACGGAATGAATGAAACGGACTTCGAAAAATTGTCGACAACTTTAATAGACCAACGAACGGCGGGGATTGGAAACTAGAATTGATTTCTCGTGCTTTCGGGCAAAGTCGAAGGTTAATTCCACGAATCCGATCCGTCTCCGAGCTCGGCTCGTCCTCAAATGCCCGCCAATTGTCCAACTTTATTACTCGAAATCCAGTTTTATCCGAGCCGATAAAATACGCGCCAATAAAGTTACCAATCGATCTAGGTGGTCCTCGGCGGGGGCAGGCGTCATTTCGTGCCGAAAGTGGTCCAGGATCCGGAGGAGCCGGAGAAAGACGGCAGACGATTGGACGGAAGGAATCTGATCGAAGAATGGTCCAGGAACCACCGGTTGCGGAACGTGGCAGCGAAATACGTCGCTAACAAGGAGCAGTTCGTGAACGTCGATCCACGGAAAGTGAACCATCTTCTTGGTAACGAACGCCACCGTTCTTTTTACCGTCGCATTCATTATCGGCGAATTCGAATATAATCCGTAAAGCGGATTGATTGTCGAGTGTCCCCAGATGGTATCCGATAAAGTTCTACGGAATGCTGATTGTAGTTCATTCGGAACCGGGAATTGGCTTGTTATGGGATCGCTGCGCGGAAATCTTTTCGCTTTAACGAAGTAGCGTACAATTCCCCGAAATATCCTGCTTCGATTGCTCCGGACACGCGTGATCTGTTATATTTGAAAGCGCCGAGAGAATGGCGCATACTTCGAACGCTTCGTCGGCGAAACATATTCGACTCACACCGTCAAAATTGTCGCTAATATATGAGCCGTTTATTTTGAAAGTGGCATAAGTCACTTTGTTTTTAAGTCGATATATTTAAGGGTTTGCGTTTTAAAATGTTTAAAAATATGGATGCTAATTTTCAAGAAGATTTACTTGTATTTGTCATCTCAGGATATTGATATTTTTCTCGGTATAAATAATTTCGGATAAACATTAAAAAATCACCACTTTTCATTGTGGTAAATTGACTTATGCCACTTTCAAAATAAACGGCTCATATGTAAAGATTTTGACTATTGATTAAAGCTTTGATGCGTTGATTATTTCTAAAATTCAATCGAAATATTTTCTTTCCACTTATTAAGCATATAAATCCAATTATTACTTGAAACAGATTTATCATTATTACAATTATTACTTGAAAACGTCTTAAGGACACGGTAATCTTGCATTCGAATGATCGAAGCGTCGCATTTTCCATTTCTACCTGCTATTAAACTTTATCTCGTATTCATGACAGAACCCACAAACGCGGCGACAATGCTGTTTTGTTTCGCAAATAATCCTGCATTAGTTGTTCTGATACTCCATTAGCGTTGAAATCGTTTGAGCGTCTCGAACAATCATATTTCATGAAGCGCGTTCCAGAAAGTTTTCAAACTGGTTCAGTTAAATTATTAGTATCTCTGATACCGCAAGCGTATAATCATTTTCATAAATACGGCTGTACACAATGCATGTTTAAAGCTCGCTAGTCGCACGAGATTAAATAACGAACACAAGTAGTTTCGAAGCTACTTAAATGGTTATTATGTTCTTTGGAGAAAATCATTCGCTATAACTCTGCACGATTTCTGCTATAAAATGTAGTAAATTTACTAAAAATTTGTATGATCTTTATTGTAATATACGCTTGGATAAAGCTATAATATACGCTTAGATAAATACGCTTCGATAATCAAAAAATTTGTCCATGAAAATATTTACTCAAACTTTGAACGATTTCGATTCTAACGCATGCTTGGACAAAGAATTAACAGATCTTTCGATCGAAACATTATTATTATATCAAGAATTATATTTAAAAAAAAATGTAGCGCATGCTTGGACAAAGAATTAACAGATTTTTCGATCGAAACATTATTATTATATGAAGAATTATATTAAAAAAAAATGTGAATCCAGCGATTTCGACTGGTTCGACAGTTCTGTCGTGAAACGAACATCGTTAGTCATTCGAGGCGACTAAAAATTGTTGGAGCATAATTCCAATTCGAAATGTCCTCCTGAAATTCACTTACAACGCGACGGCGTCGAAACTCGATCAGAGAGGGCGAACGGGATCAATAAAAGTTATCCGACTGAAAGTTTGGTGGCTCACCGTTTCACGGCGTTCGATGATTCCAGGACTGTTTTCCTATTCCCATATGGACTTCGACGTCGACCGAAACACGAACGGGACCGGTGACCCCTCGCTGGCTGAAATGACTATAAAGGCGCTCCGTGTACTGGCGAAGGATCCCGAAGGATATTTCCTCTTCGTCGAAGGTACGTAGCGGAAAAGAATGAACTCGTATCCTCGCGGAACTGCATCCCTTGGAAACTGAAAACTGCGATTCACTGTTCGGAATGATTTATCGTCCCCCGGCCGGTCGCTCTCGAAAGTAAAAACACACACACGCGAGATTTTTACCCGAAAAATATATTATTAAAGCGTTTCCTCGGACTGTCACGGCCGCGCACGTTCTAGAACCGATGAATTATCGCGGCCGACTAAAATAGAACGTCTCGGCGAAGGTACGCGATGTTATTTTCTTCCCGGTGGATACCGACTTCCGGTTTTTATCGCGGTTTCTTCGTTGATACCGTTGTCACTTGTCCATCGTCGCGAAAGTAATTGTATTTCTGCGGGTTTCTAGGTTCGTTTAAGTGTTTCGGGAATGCAATTCGACGCGGAACGGGCACAAAAAGATTAGGTCGCTCGGCGAGACTGATCTATTTTCGAGAAACTGACGAATTGACGGATCGGAACCATCTCCGAATTCTCGTAAACGTTTTCGATACGAATCTGTTCGGGACTTGAAAATGTTTTGACATTGTTAACCTCTTATCTGCGTAGATGAATTTTTAATTTGCATATTATATCTGTGTCGTGTGCTATTTCTTTCAGCAAGTTCTTCTGAAATTATCGAAGAGAAAAAAAGAATTGACAATTTTGCGTCGTACATAATTGAAGAGTTCTTTGAACACCGAAAATTGTGCGTATAATATTAGCATAATTTGAATCAATTTATATAATTCTTCATAATAATTTGAATTAATATTATATTATATAAATTTAGTATTAATTTGTATAATATTAATTTCGAAGTTATTCGAGGCGTGCAAGTTCCGCGGCTCACCTTGCATACGTAATACCATATTTCTTTCAACGAACACAGAAATTATAATAATCGTATTCATTCTTTTAACAATCTTATTCACGATTTTGATCGAATATCTTCTGTCAGGAATAATACTACAATTTCTCCGCATTCGAAACGCGCGCTCGGCCTCCAGGGTCTGTTTTAAAATTCTCAAAAGAATTCATCACAGTCGAACGTCCGAGAACGTCCAAAAATGTCCAAGAAATTGTGCAGCCGCGTCTCGGTTTAATATTCTCGTAATTCAAATATTTAGCAAGAATGTTATTGAGCTCGACGCTCTTGGGAACATTGCGAATAGGGAAACGCGAGTCTCTTACTCCAAGATCGAGTCAGCAGCACGTATACTATGGACTTTATAGCTTTACCGCCCCCTGGTAACCAATATGTACATCTTATGTTCTTTCGTCCTCGGGAACAGCGTTTTCTCTCGCAAAAATGCAACCCTTTTTTTCGTCCTCCTTCTACCGGCCTTGTTCATCTCCACGAAAATTCGCTGATTCAACCGCGTCTTATATCTACCATTCGACTCGAGTAGGCTAGTAGACGAAATTGTGGAACACTCGAAAAATTACCAGAATAAGAACGCGGCGTTATTCCTTGCACGGGACAGCATTGTATGAGAAACAGAATCATTTTATTTTATGGAACATCTTCGGGAATGAAAACGAACAATTGAAGAAATTTGAACGAAGATAATAGAATTGCATATTGACAATTGTGTTTTATACGGTCTGTGAGGACTATTGCTGAGTGAATTTAAAGAAATGCTTTAATATTATACTGCTAATACTAATAGTACTAAGAATACTAATATAATTAGTAGAACTAATAATACTAATAACACTAAGAATACTAAGAATATTAATAATATTAATAATTCAAATTATACTAATAATACTAATAATACTAATAATTCAAATTATACGAATAATACTGATAATACTAATAATTCAAATTATACTAATAATATTAATAATACTAATGATTCAAATTATACTAAGAATACTGAGAATAGTAAGAATACTAATAACACCAACAATTCAAATTATATTAATAATACTAAGAATACTCAGAATAGTAAGAATACTAATAATAGTAATAATTCAAATTCTACTAATAATACTAATAAAAACCAGCACTTCTGATGCAGTAGTATTGTTACAATGAAGCTTCGAGTGACCGATCTGCTGCTGAAAATGGAGTACCTTTCTCATCAGCATGAAAATGTCAGTTTCAGAACCAGCATCATTTTGAAAATTAGATTTTCGATTGTCCAGTCTATTTTCACTGTTGCGTCTCGACCGTATCAAAAATCGAAGTTGCGACAACACGTATTTCAAGAAAACAGTACACAAAATCGATGCTTCTTTTTTTCCGAGAATGAATGTCAAACAAAACAAAAAAATAGTAGAATGAGAGATAGATAGACGGGTGGAATTCGCGGAATTCGGTTCGGCTGCGATTTTTACAGGCGGCTCGAAAAAAGAGCGTACTTTCCAATTAGCGGGGAATGCGAACGACCAGCGTCGAAAACGTTCATGCCTCGGCGAAGATGAAACCGTTTAGAAAAATTGTAGTTCAGATAGTAAAGTGTCGCGGTGTTTGTCAGCCGTTCCCGTTCCTCCGTTCGGCTGCTGCGCCGCTTGAATCCGGAACTACTGGGTATCGCGTTGTAATTTTTATCCTCTGTAAACCAATCGCCTTTTCGGCTCGCGAAACTGTGATTAAATCCTGCACGCGAATCCAATTCCGCTTGTATAGAATTTCAACGTTTTCGTAATATTCGAAAAATGGAAAACCCGTGGCTCAATGATCCGGATTGCGAAACGCGTGGGTCATTCGAATTCGAAATGCAGGCTTGGGTATTCGAACATCGTAAAGGCAGCGCATGCACGTGCACGTTTCAAAAATGAAAGCTGGAAACTGTTTGCACGAGCCTCTCTTCGAACGATTTTTGCAATAAAATCTCTGTCTAATCTCTTTTTGCCGCTGCGCAGTTTTACCTCGGTCAATATTTATTGAATAACAACGGATTTTGAATTCGGCAAAGTCAAAATTCTACTTTCGAACGGAATTTTCGAGTTCCTGCAATTTGCTGCATCGTATCGCACTTTATTTAAATGCATAGTGAAACATTTCGGTTTTTCGATTTAAATAGAACATTATCATATTCGCATACTTGTTGCTGGACTGCCGATTTCTGTGCAAAATTAAAATTGTGTAAGCTAATCTAGCAACCGTAAATCAATCGGAAAATATGTCTTCCTCTCTTAATCATTTTAATAAGCTGTACCTAATATAAAAATATTATGAAGTTCTTCCAAAGTCTTCAGATTTTTTATTTTAAGCTAATAATTATTGTCAACGATCTTACATGAAATCCACAGCATACTCTCTCTCTCTCTCTCTCTCTCTCTCTCTCTCTCTCTCTCTCTTATTACATTCAGAATAAGATCAGAATAAAAATTATATATATATAATATAATATATTAAATTCAGAATAAAAATCTCTTCGTCAATTCTCTGTTCAAAATATTCGATCATTTATTCGATAAAATAAATAACTCGTCCGTCTTTAAACAAACTGCGAATATACGCTGAACGTTTCATGGATTTCAAGTTAATTCACCTAAAAGAAATGATTAATGTCTTTGCCAATGCTTCATTTCGAATTATTCTACAAAGGATTCTAGCGGTTATATTTGTCTCGTACAGTGGAGTTAGGTTCAAATACGTTCTAGGTTAGGTCTGAGTTAAACCTGGCTTAAGTTTCTCCATGATCTTCTTACTCTCATCCTTTACCACCTCCACAGTTCTTTCGAATTTTCTCACGCATCCCTGGTTTCTTCTTCTACTTCAATAATCTCTCTTTATTTGACTCCGATCTCCGTTTTCTTTTCCTCTCTTTTCGAGGATCATGCAATTAAATTCTTCGTGTTAGCATTTAATTGAATTCCTATCGATCACGCCGAATACGTGATTCTTAAGCTATTTTCCTCGTTTATTTCGATATTGCTTTGTTTCTTCGTTATTATCGCTGTACAAGGTGTCTCGAATTTTTCCGCACATATAGTAAATTTTCCCCAATTTTCCTTCAGCTTGTAAACAAAAATGGACCATTTGGGAGGGAGAGATACGATTACCTTTTTATGGTTGTCTCGCGGCTTATTTTTATAGCTGCCAATTGCAAACTATAAAAAGCAAGCAACTATAAAAAGGAGGTGCAAAACTCAGATATTCGTATCTCCTCTTCCCAAATTGTCCATTTTTGTTTACAAACTGTAGGAAAATTAGGGAGAATTTACTGTACTTCGGCACTTGTGTCCGGCAAGTAAAAATGTTCAAATCCACGTATAAAACTTTTAATAACCCTTTCTTTCTTTACTTTAGACCGCGAAGTACCAAACGATGGACGAGATTTTATCCGGTCGGTAAACTTCTCATTTCATTTTGCTAAAGAATTTGCAGTCTAGTCAGACAAGAGCAGCAAAGTGCAATTGCAATTTCGAAAAGCGGGATATAAACTGTGTAGTACGGTGCCGCGAACTATTTATTCGCGTTCACATATGAAAACTGAATCACGAAGTTCGAAACTTTTCCTTTTTTATCTGGCGTTATTACAGGACAACCAACCACTTCGTTGATTAGTTTTCGAACCGTTTCTACTGAAAGTAGACTGCGGCTTTTAATCAAGAACGGCAGAACTGCTGTGCCTTTGATTCGTTTTCGGACACGATTAACTTTATCTTCATCGAATATGAAACATACGAAACGTTTTTTTATTCAGACTAAAGAAACGGAGAAAATAAAGAAAATTAAGATGCCTTATTCGATAAATATAATGTCAGTTTTTGGGACGCATAATTGACTATATATTTTTCGAATGAAACATACCAAATTTTTTTATTTTCTTCTAGCTTGTTTATTTCTGATTAAAAAAATTTAATATACCTCATTCGATACATATAAAGTGAATTACCCCCGAAAACGTTGGTATTAGTGATTAGACACTGCTTAGCAACCGGCTCTGCTACCCTAATTCCGAAGATCCCGGGGAGGAATCGAGTTTTACTAGGGAGATTTGTAGATGCTGGCGCGACTAGTTCTTATCTAGGGAATCCGTTGGGCCTGTGGCGCAGGCGCCAGTTATCCGGACCGAAATTCGGATTAAAATCTGAATAACCGGTGGCCGAGGCGGGGGTGGGCCGAGGTCCGACGAGTTACGTTCTCCGCGGCGTTAATGCGCCCGACGTACTTTACGCCGGCAATCGCGAGCGCCTGTTAAAGTCCTCGTAAACCTTTTACACGCATTTCGCCGTTCCAGCTACGCGGCT